AACCCTAAACCCTGAACCCCTAACTTAAACCCCTATACCCTGAAACCCTAAAGCCCTAAAACCCTAAAATCCTAAAGCCGTAAATCCCTAAACCCCTAAAGCCCCAAAAGCCCGAAACCCTGAAAATCCGAAAGCCCTGTCTATCCCAGAGGGTCCATAGATACTACCACTATGGAAAGAGGTCCCTAAAAGCAACACTAATCATGGTTTTGGGGGGACCTAATTCCATAAGTGTATATGGACCCTCCTTCCCCCAAAGCCAGGGAAACAGAAGGTTAAACTTGCAGATTAGTCAGATATAAGAACCCGAAAGGGTTTTTAAGGTTGGGTATTGGAGAACTATCATTTGTAGAAGCCAGAAAGTTGGAACGTGACTATCCTCATGCCCTTAAGATAAAGTATAAGGGATCCTAAGTCGCTGTTGAAGGCGGGGTTCCTCCAAGAGCAGAAGTGTCCGAAAAATGGAACGCCTCCTGGCCTGGTTTAGGGTTTCGGGTTTAGGGGTTTAGGGTTTCGAGTTTTGGGGCCCAATTTTTGGGTTTGGGGTTTAGGGTTTAGGGTTTCGGGTTTAGGGGTTTAGGGATTTAGAGTAGAAGTCGGAAGAATTGGAAATTGTATCCCTCGCCGTCACTGTAGATTTATATCAATATTGCCCCAAGACCCCCATTTCGCGAAACACGCAGCCGAAACGGGCACCCTGAACTACCATCCGAGCATCCCCGGGCCCTACTGCTGCAATGCTCCGCAGTCTTCGAGCTCGTTTGCCTTGCGCTTCTTGCACAGACTCTCCGCGCTCGATAGCTGCGTTTGCAGCACGTCAAGCCGCAAATCAAATTCCTCTTAGGTCGATGTGGCTGGCCCACATGACTCTGCTCGGAGCTGAACTCGTGAGACCGTCTGTCCACCTGGGCCAGCAGCTACCTCCTTCAAGAAGTCACGGAGTTCTTGATTCAGGAGCAAACGGTAGTGCGGGAACAGTGTCTCCGGGATCGAATCCAAGACCAAGCGTGGGTCACCCAACTTGCCCCCTGGATGTGCGTCAACAGTTCCTGACTCATGTGTCGCGACGCCAAAGAAAGTGTGGCCAAGCAGCAGAGCTAACGCTCAAATCAGAATCCCTACCTAAACCACTATAGACCCCGTAGGGACAATCTATGAAAACCCTGAACCAGCAAAAGCCCCAAAGGAACCCAGCTTAAACTCCAAACCCTACATATAGGGTAAACTCCCGAAGCCTAAATCTTCACGAGCACAAGAAACCTTCAACCTACAATATATGTCGTAGTTTCCTTTTTGTCTCATTTAACCAATGATATCAAGGATTCTATAAAGCAACTACAATGGAGACTAGAGGTAAACCCCGAAGCCTAAATCCACCCACGTCCCGCCCTACGTGGACCTCGAAGATGGAGGTGATGTCATCCCTTTGGATGTCCATCAGCTGCATGAGCCTGGTGGGCTTAGGCTTTGGGGGTTACTTATGTTTACCTTAACCCCAAATAACCTACGTGTTAAAGGACTTATAAAGAGAAACCATCCTAAGGATCTCTAAAAAGGGGTGGAATTAGGCTTTGGGGGTTACTTGGGTTTACCTTATCCCCAAGTAGTCTACTTGTTAAAGGACTTATATAAAGAAATCATACTAAGGATCTCCCAAAAGGTAGGTTCTGTAGGGTCCAGGCAGGGTTTAGGGTTTAGTGTGACTTGGGAACCCACGAGACTCCACGAGTAGGAGTAGGTTCAGGGCCCTAAATCGCAGATCCTGAAGAGGACCTGTAAGAAATAAACACCCCACCAACCCCCGTGCCCCTCCCTTCAGAAGAACATTGGAAAACCTGGGGTTCAGGTTTGACGGACTCACAGCTCCTATAGTCTGAAATTGCAGTGCCTGTTTTGGGTTTAGGGTTTAGGGTGTAGGGCTACTTCACAGGATCCTAACTATTGAAGCTGGTTAAGCCAACTACCATGGAGGCCAGGGTAGTGTTTCTTCTGAGATCCTTGGAGAGATCGCGAGAAGCTCCCAGCAAGCTCCGCCCAGAAAGACTCTTTAACGTACTTTGTAGCGTATACTGATGTGTATATATATATATATATGTGCATGCATGCACGTACAAACAAATGTGTATATGCATAAGCATAGCTATATATATATATATATATGTATATATATATATATGCGTATAGGTATACCTCTATATATATATATATATATGTATATATGTATATATACACGTATGTATGTATGCATGTCGCTCTCTCTCTCTCTCTCGCTCTCTCTTTCTCCCTCACTATATGCATCTACAATAGTTCACACAGGGACAGAGAGAGACTTTCAGAAACAACTCTAAAGCTGTCGGAACAACTGGCCTACCTAATGTTCAGTATCTATGTCCTTCAGCACATGCTCCACGTAACCCCCCCTCCCGCTGATTCGGTAAGCTCTGCCCCGTCACTTTCGGAACTCGCCGACGTCGTCATCATAGCCAGCCAACATCTCCTCTATCAACCCGGAGCATCGAAGACTCCAAACCCAAAGCCCCTAAACCCAATATACTATAATTGTAATTAGTAATAAGGAGCCCCCAACACTGAGGCCCTATATTAGGGCTGCTTCAAGGGCCTCTAAGCTTCAATCCTGAACCCCAAACCCCTAAACCCCCAAACCCTGCAGAAGGGACTGTCAGAAGGGACAACCCTGACCCCCAAACCCTACCCAAACCCCTAGACCCCAAACCCCTAGACCCTAAACCCCTAGACCCTAAACCCCTACACCCCTAAACTCTAAATCCCGAGACAAAAAGCGCCCAAGTCGGAACCCTCGATGCCGACGTTGCGGGCTCGAAGCCCTCCCTACAACCCTAAAGACACGGTTTAGGGTTTAGGGGTTTGGGTTTAGGGTTGAGGGTTAAGGGTTTAGGGGTTTGGGGTTAAGGGTTTCGTCTAAACAACCTACTTTTTTAGGGCTCCTTTCAGTATGATTTCCTTATCGAGAAATTCCTAAGTTTTAGGTTGCTTACGGTCGTCCTTATAAGGCACCTACCTTCCCAGGGCTCCTTTTTTATGGTTTCCTCATAGAAGTCCCTAAATGGTAGGCGATTTCGATTTCTGTATATAAATCCCGAAAATGGCAGGGTTTAGGGTTTTTGGTTTATTCGAGCTCCGTTTATAATTTCCTTCTAGAAGTCGCTAAGTGGTAGGTTATATAAGGTCTTCCCCTATGTAGAACCTACCTTTCTAGGGTACCTTCTCATGATAGGTCCCTTAAAAAATAAGTGGGTTTACCCTAAACCCTAAACCCTACATAAACCCTAAACCCTAAAGTCCTAAACTCTAAACCCTAAACTCTAAAGTCTCGGACGTAAGGGTCTGGGACTTTAGAGTTTAGGGTTTAGAGTTTAGGACTTTAGGGTTTAGCGTTTAGGGTTTAATTAGAGTTTAGGA